CTCTTCCGCAGTCAGCTGAAAGGCTCTCCCCCGAGCCCTCGGTGCCTCGGCCTTCACGGGCCGACTCTCTGTAGCAGTAGCTCTGATGGCGGCGGGAGCAGACCCCTGAGATGCTCCGCGCAGCAGCGGACACTCTGCCTTCCGGTGTCCGGTCTGGTTGCAGTGGAAGCACACTGCAAATCCCTTGGGGCAGTCCTTGGCCATATGCCCCTCCTTGCCACATTTGTAGCAAGACCCTGCTCGACAGACTCCATCGTGACCCTTGCCGCACTTTCCACAAGTGCGGCCCTTCTGGCTCCCGGGTCTGGGATCAGCGGGCTTGGCCCGCTTGGCTGCCGGCTGGGACTGTGCGGCCGCCGATCCCTCCCTAGAGACTCCGCCTCCTCCCTGGCCTGAGTCTCAAGCTCAATCTCCCTCTTCCGAGCATTTGCCTGAAGCTCGGCAAATGTCCGATACGAGGAGTTCGCAGCGAACTCCCGAATATCCCGTCTCAGAATGCTCAGGTAACGGCTCATACGTGCCTGCTCGGTGGACACGTGCTCAGGGCAGAACATCGCCCTCTCATGAAACATCCTCGTAATCGCTGTAACTGACTCGGTACCCTGCTTGAGGGTCAGAAACTCCTGTGTCAGACGCTCCCTCTCCACCTGAGGAACGTACTCATCTCGGAACATGGTAGTGAACCTCTCCCAGGTCACTGCCGAAAGCTCAGTCGGTGTGAAGTGCGCCGTCACAAACTTCCACCAGTCCTTCGCTCCCAAGCGAAGCTGGTTCAGCGCGAACCGAACCTTCAAATGCTCAGGGGACGAGCAAGTGAAGAAGCATCCCTCCATATCAGATATCCACCTCATAGCTGCCACCGGATCCTGCGTACCATCAAACTCTGGTGGCTTGGTGTTGCTGAACTCCCTAAACAATGTCGCATCACCTCCCTGGGGTCTTGCCGCAGCAATCGCTGCGGTAGCCGCTGCAACCGCAGCCTCAGAAAGAGCGGCATAGCGCTCGTCAAATGTCTCAATCAACGCGGTCTTAATAGACCCGAACATCTCTGGTATCTCAGCTCTGATGACCGCAGCCACCTCCTCATGAATGATCTGTCGAATCTCCTCATCACTAGCTCCGGCATCCTCTGGCATATGACGTGTCCTCACCATGATCAACCTCTGAAATACAACATGCGATAATTAGACTTCACTCGAACACTCTTACATTCGACAATCCACCCCTCCTTGATCCTTGGCATCCCAAGATTCTTATTTGGACTGTGTACCGCACCGGTGCTTTCAGTAGTACGGGCCCAATACTACTGTCCGCACCGTCTCAGTACACACCCCAAATCTTCCTCTTCGGATCCCAATCCCCAAGTACTCTATTATACTTAAATCACTTTGAAATAGATCTCACACAAAGCCCTAGCTGCTACCTAATTACTCTCAGCATCTCATAGCAGCTCACCCCTCCCTAGGCTAAGGCATCACAAAACAGGCCACTCTAGTCCTATTAGCAATACCTAGCCTACTCTAGCATGCAAACACATCACATTAATAATAATTATCACATAATATAAAGGTATTTTGGGAATTCACCGTTCGGGCGCTGGCTGATCGTACACACGTTTCTTCCTGGAAAATCTTTTACTCTTAGAAAATTTTGGTTTTATTTTGAAATATCTCTTCAATTCCTCAGTTTGAGTTCAAATACCCCCGAAGGTGTACCCGAATCCCTCAAACCAAGGCTCTGATACCAATTTGTAACACCGAAAATTTCAAACAAAATTTTCAATTTTTATAAAACATAATTCCATCGATATTCATAAAAACAACCATTTTAATTATCCAACAAAACAGTACAAAATCCCAAGATCATAATATCAAGCTCCGAACGTGTGTGTATACGGATCAAGCCGGCGCCTTCCCGCGGTCATCACTAGTACCTGAAACAAATAACATCAACACTGTAAGCACAAGGCTTAGTGAGTTCCCCAAAATACCACATATAACACATATTAGCCACTCTAGGCTATAACTCTGTGGGTCCGTGCACCCAAACTCTGTGAACCCTCAGGTTCTAGCTCTGATAAACATGCACCACATAAATCACATAGAAATCATGCAGTACAACACACAACATACATAGCATACAAATACTCTATCACATAACTCTGGTTACCTACTCAAGGTAAAGTATAGTGAGAAGACTCACCTCGCGTATCTCGGTATCTCACGAATCCTGGAAATCCCTCGTGCTCGATCCTCCGAGCTCTAATCCTCCTATAACATTATATGCTTCTAATTAACACTTTATATCTCTAAGGTTGACTATCAATAAGGAGTCAACACTGGTCAACTCTGGTCAACGGTCAACGGTCAACTCTGACCGGACTCGGCGAGTACCAAGGCGACTCGGCGAGTCTGGGCGTATACACCAATTTCCCTGGAATCCTCCCTTGACACGTCGAGCATTCACTCAACTCGACGAGTTCCACCTGGCATGAGTTGTGGGGCCACCACGACTCAACTCGCCGAGTCTCAAAACAACTCGGCGAGTCCAGTTTGACTCAATCCACCGGTCCATTCTGACTCCCCCTTGACTCACTGAGTCCACCCTCCCCAACTCGGCGAGGCCACTCACTGTGTGGTCGGGCAACATTCATGCTACTCGCCGAGTCTGTTCTTCGGACTCGGCGAGTCCGTGCCATGCACTGACTCAATCTTGCTCTAAAGGTCAGATCCAGTCCATTAATCCATAGATCCAGTCCCTCCAAGCTCATTTAGCACGTAAAGTTACAATCTTGATGCACATACAACCTCTATATGACCATATATGATGTTTTTGACTCATTTACTACAACACAAGGTCATGGACTCCATTGTCATACATAAAGCTTGAGGAGTGAGGCTCTCTGGACCTCTATGGGTCCAGATCCATAACCTCAACTCAAGGAGGGAACCGATGGGCACCAAATCATCTTCATAAATGACCATCATAAGCCCTAAATTGCATAATGCTTCACCAAACAGAAAATAGTCCGAGATCATACCTCTAGAGTGATGATCTAAGCCCCAAATCCACGAAATAGCAACCTCCTTTGCTTCCTCTTGCCTAGAGTCTCCTTCTTCTTGCTAAATAACACACACAAGGTCAAGAAATGCTCCTTTCTCTTCACAAATCGCTCAAGAACACAAGGGTCTCTCACTGAGGGTTGGGTGAGCACAAATGACGGCCATAAGGCCCTTTAAATAGGCCTCAAACCCGGAAATTTAGGGTTTCATTACACAGCGCAGACTCGCCGAGTCCATATCCTGGACTCGCCGAGTCCAGGCGCGCTCCATCGTCCAAATCCGCGTCCCTACTCGGCGAGTCTGAGCTCCAACTCGCCGAGTCCCCCTCACAATACCACAAAATTAAATTTACAAGATACCTGGTAAAAATCCGGATGTTACATGATAGATCTGAGATGGTCCTCCATAGCTGAAGATAACCATATTGGTGCTGGTGGTGGTGTATGTTGGTTGAGGGCGGCGGGTGGCGGGTGAGCTACCCGGACGAAGTATAGTGGCAGGTGAGCCATGGGGAAGAGTCCTAGGAGAAGGGGTCTAGGAGAGGTCCTAGGGAAAAGCTCCTTGGGAAAATTCACCCTTCATGGAAGGGGAACTATTCTATTTATAGTGGACAATTAGATCAAGGGGAATTAGGTTAGACCTTGGGCCAACCCAATTCAGGCCCAACTAGCAAGGAGTTGGGAAACGCCGCCCGGAGCCGTCAAGTGGGGCTAGCGGGCGCGCCCCAGGCAAGGCTAGCGAGCGCACACCAGGATAGATTGGAAAGGGGTGCTAGGCAAGGGAGCACCATGCCGGGTCGGAAGAAGAGTCCCCAAAAAGGCTGGCAAGGGAGTCCCCAACAAGGCTGGCAAGGGAACGTTAGGCAGGGCTGGCAGGAGTGTGCCAGGATAGGCTAGCATGCTAGATTAGTCTAGGCCATGCTAATGGACCATAGATCATCAAGTCCCCCCAGTCTAGTGTAACTGGTACGCGGCCAATGACATCGGACTGGACTTAGTCATATATATTGTGCGTCGTCAAGTCCCCCTAGTCCGGTGTGATTGTATTGCTAACAATCGGATCGGACTAGATAAAGCACCAATACATTAAATAATACAGAGAATGACCGAACCTTGCCCATGAGAGTCGTGGGGTTATGTGATGAGCCAAACATTGATTATGCAACTCGAGCTAGCTTGGTACTCCTTTCTTGAGAGGAGTGCGAGCCGATCGGTGTGATGCAACGTAGCCGTTACTGCGATCGTGTGGACCTAGGATGCTAAACATTGTTACACAACACTGATGTCAATAAAATGTCAGGTCATGGTATCTAAGAAGCGTAGCCTCGTCATACAGTCTCTAAGATCGTTATCTGTTGTAGTTGTTGTTATTAGTCTACATGGAATGTTGTCGATGACCACCTACACAATCTACATTAATAATCGTCCTGAAGGTATCTCCAAAATACGCTATCCCAAATTGGATTTCCCCCAATTTGATGTGGGTAGCGTAGGTAACCTGATCAGACTATTACAAATAAGGCAAGGTTTCTATGTCAATTTGCGATGAAGTGGCAAAACTCTTTGTACGAGATGAATGTTGTCAAACCGATGAGCCGTAAGGTCATTGACTATGTAACAGGTGGTAGAGGTTCTAGGCGTTGGGCGATTAGGTTGGTAGCGGGGATCACGCGGCGAGACTATTGCCAATAGCCAGACAACAAAGATGCTGAGGGGTTGTAGGTAGTAGGGATGTTGGCGTGATAATCTTCTTGCTGAAAGGTATCCTCAGTATAGGAGGATGCAGTGTGGAGAACGCTTCATCGATCGTCCGAGCTCAAGAGAACCATGATGACTGTGAGAGAGGAAGCACCGAGATCATGGTGTTAGTCTCAGAATAAGCCTGTGATACGCGACTTATGGTCCACGACAATGAGCGACTTAGGAGAATAGCTTGGGCTTAGCAGCCGACGATCAAGGAGATGTTACGCAGGAGAGCATCAGACAGAATGGATCGGGCTTGGCTGCCAGTGATCGTTGATACATCACATGGGAGAGCATCGCGTGTAATGGATTGGGCTTGGTTGCCAGTGATCGTAAGTATATTACACGGGAAAGCATCGCGTGGATTCATATAGGCAAAGGTTGCGAGCCTTTGAGCCTTGTTGGTGGAGCATGCCACTATAATGGAGTCGATATGAGAAGTTAGACGACTCAAGGCAAGGGTGTTGAACCTTGCATGCGGATCGTGTCGCTATAATGGAGTCGGACTGAGAATCCAGGTGACTTGAGGCGAGGGTATTGAACCTCGCATCCAGAGCTTACCTCTGTAATTGAGTCAGGCTAAGAGGCCAGGCGACTCAAGGCGAGGGTACTGAACCTTGCATGCGGAGCTTGCCGCTGTAATCGAGTTAGGTTGAGAAGCCAGGCAACTCAAGGAGAGGGTAATGAACCTCGCATGTGGAGCTTGCCGCTGTAATTGAGTCAGGATGAGAGGCCAGGCAACTCAAGGCGAGGGTACTGAACCTCACATGCGGAGCTTGCCACTATAATGGAGTCAGGCTGAGAAGCCAGGCCACTCAAGGCGAGGGTACTGAACCTTGCATTCGGAGCTTGCCGTTGTAATGGAGTTGGGCTGTGAAGCCAAGCGACTCAAGGAGAGGGTACTGAACCTCACATGTGGAGATTGTCGTTGTAATGGAGACGGGTTGTGAAGCCAGGTGACTCGAGGAGAGGGTACTGAACCTCGCATGCGGAGCTTACCGCTGTAATGGAGTCAGGCTGAGAAGCCAAGAGACTCAAGGAAATGTTATTGAACCTCGCATGCGGAGCTTGCCGCTGTAATGGAGCCGGGCTGTGGAGCCAGGCGACTCAAGGTGAGGGTACTAAACCTCCCATGCGGAGCTTGCCACTGTAATGGAGTCGGGCTGTGAAGCCAGACGACTCAAGGCAAGGGTGTTGAACCTTGTAAGGTTGGGCATAACATCCTACAAGCTATGTGTTTGTACTAGATGATGAGTTTGTGTTGAAGTGTAATGGTGCTTAATATTTTGTTGAATCACTAGTTGTGGTGATGGTTGGTGCCTTGCTATTTAGGTTGTCTACAGAGGCTTATGCGGCGATGCTACTTAGAGCTGGATAGTGTAGCTGCTGTCAAGTGATGCGTAGCGAGACCGCCATCGAGAGTTGGTCATCAGGGACGCTGACAACTGAGCATCAAGATAATAGCGATAGATGAGTAGAATGATATCTGAGATCTGGGCAACGAGACTATCGAGGGTTGAAGCACAAGGCTGATCTTTCAACCTAAAATATTAATGTCACCTCGGTAATGCACTGTTTGCATAGTATCATGCCAACCCTTCCCCCTATTTTTTGAGGAGACGATAATGATGGGTGTATAGAGATAAGTAGCAAGGTTTCGTAGATCATGGGGCATAGCTGTTAAAACTTTCGTAGCATGGCTACTCGAAAGGGCTAGGAGACCCAAGTACTAATAAAAACTAGGTAGCGCGGCTGTCACGACTGCTGGGAGTCAAAAAAACATAACTGCAGATGAATGGGCTTCGCAGCTACTAATATGGGTCGCATTGTTACTAGAAGAAGCTGGGCATCATAGTTGTTAGGACCCCTGCAATGCGACTGCTGAGAGCTGAGCTGCAAGACTGCCTGGGGCTGGTCACCACAGCTGCTGATAGCCAGGCAACATAGCTGATGTTTGGTGTTGGTCCATAGAGCTTCTTCTTCATTTATAACACCAATCTCTTCCCCAGGATTCACAATCATACATAACGTCAAGTCGTTATGTAGTTTAGTTCTTTACTCGAAATAGAAATAACACCTCTACATAGCGTTGTACTACTCCCTCCACTCCCCCCCCCCCCCCCCCCGCCCTGCCTTTTTAGGGAGAGTGAAGAGTGATATTGGCTTGTGCTTGCATGTTCAAGCCTTGAGCCTTTCTATCGCAGTTATATTCTAAAATGCTTCATGGAGTAGTATTAGCATACTACTCTTCTCCCGGTCCATTTCACAACGTCGAAGGAGAGAAAACGCTGAAGATCGTTGACCGTAGCGAGATTGTTGGCGACTTAGGGTTGTTGGAAGTCACCAAATGTGTTTGTTGATACCAACGGTGGTGATTTTGATTGTTCTTTACTGGATTCTATAAAAATATCAGGGTGTGGGCTTCACCGGTGGCGCTGCATTATTGGGTTGTCACCATAAGGTGGTCGACACTTATAGTGGGTGTTTCATCAAAACTTTGGTGAAATTGGTGATGTCGACACTGGATCGTGTAGGCAACATTGCATAGCATTATCGTTGGAGGTTCTGTCATCTCGGAGGTGCTGGATGTGGCCGACGGTGGTCAGGCCTCTCTCGTTAGCGGCATTTGCTCGGAGGTTGATACCGACCAGTTGGAACGGGACGGAGATGGTAGTTTGCCTATTGGTTTGATTTTGAGAGACCCATTTGAGAAGGCAAATGTCTTGGTGGAAGGGGTAGCAGCATATACTTAAGCTATTGTCGCCGGTGAGATTGTTGGTGCTTGAAACGCGCTCAGTTGTGGCGGTTGCTATCATCGGTAGTGCAGGCTTTAGTGAATGATGATTGGTGGTGATCGGAGCTGTGGCATTTTGGTGGTATTTTGACTAAGCCGGCAGCCGAGGGCGATGCTTGGGTTGTTGGTGATCGATTGGTAAACAAACTGTGGTGGTTTGCTCTGCTCGTCGGAGTTGGAACGAATGGTAAACGGACTCCATTATCTGTGATGGTCGGAGGAGGTGGTGACCAAAGTAGGCCCCACCTATTGACATTTCTGCATCTAATGGTTCTTCTTTGATATGTGGGGGACCTATTGAAATGCAACACACTCTGGTGCGGTTCAACCACCATTCCATCCATTTTTTCCTTTTTTTCATTTGTAGGTTAGGAGCTATCATTCTGATAAACATGAGCTGTAAAGATTTTGCTCTTGTCTATATTTACTTTTTTATGCTATCAATTCTTTTTGTAATTCTTCTCTCCACCGTTTTTTTCTTGTAAATGACGTGAGAGTTCGAGTCGCAACGCATTCTGTTGAGCGGAGCTTGCGGTGCATGAGTATTAAATTGCCTATTTCCGTCTTGTAAAATTGACCCATTTTATGTGTTGGTGTATCTCGATAATCTGAAAGGCATAAAAGAAGCCCAAGATGTCATAGTTGTAGCCCACTAGGGGAAATTGTCACACCCCCAAACCCGAACGGCGGAATCGTTCGATGGAGGATGACTTCATGTAGTATCGCAACAACTGAATACATAGTAAAAAAAGCAATACAACCATCATATATATAATTTAAAAGTTTACATTGTTGAAAGGTACTTGTTTCAAAATAAATTACAATATGATGTTAAAATGAAATTAATCTAACACCACAGCGTCCCTTCTTCGAAAGCTGCAGTTTACCTGTATTACTGAATCTCTGAGAAATACAAGTGGTTTTGAAAGAGTAGGTCAACATTTAAGCTGGTGAGTTCATAAGTATTTAATGACAATGTTTATATGAAATAGAATTAAAATGGTTTGTACATGTTAAATGTTCCTAAAAAATCCCATATTTTCTACTATAGTAGATGGTTGTTTGATTTTTCCAAAACTGTAATGCAATAGTGCTTTTCATGCCTAAAATAGTAGTTTTTTGTGTAAATCATTAAGGCATTTGAAAAAACCCCATAAATCAATGTGTTTTTAATACTCCATGTGAGTCTTATAACCTAACTATTTGACCAGGATGCCTATAACCACATTCTTCAGGCGTTGGAAAGTTATGACGTTTGTCACCCCAGGCATGCCGGCCTAGCTGTAGCTAACAGCTTAGGTGTGGGATTGTCAATCCCGTATAGATCTATACAGAAGTATCACGCTCCCCCTACAAGGGATTATGGTATATAATATAGGACTTAAAATGCATACTCGCGAGTACGTGAAATCTCTCACAAAATTTAGTATAAAACAGATTTACGTATGAAAATGTACATTTGTTCTTGTATATGAAAATATCTCTTTGATATAGTGTTCCTAGTATGTATGTATTCATGATTTTCTCGTAAACTATACCTATTATATTTTTTCAAAGTGTCTTTCGTTCATATAGTAAACCCTAGTGTAATGCTCACTCGTTATGTAAAGTATAACATGTAAAGTGACATAACTGATCACATATACTTAATGTATAAATGGAGTATTTGATTCGTATATATATATATATATATATATATATATATATATATATATATATAAACACGTTTTATTGCCACAAGACAAGGTGTTATCGAGAATATATATATTTCATACGAAAATACTCATGTAGTAGTTTATGAATCACATACGAAAATACTCATGTAGTAGTTTATGAACAAAGGGCAAACCTAAGAAATTTTTGTTTAAAGTCTCATATGTAGAAAGATATAATTCTTCGCAATATACACATTTTATTGTTCGTATGATCAATTGCAAGAAGAACAATGAAGGAGACAAGAAGGATCTCAAGAAGGTGATCTCCTGGTATGGAGAAGTGCGAAAGTCAATTCACTCAGTTGTTCAAAAGCTTATAAACTGAATAGCTTCGACTGTTTACAAAGGGGGAGATTGTATAAGTAAAATTGTAAAAGTCGAATATTGTGTTTTGTATTGTTTCGCATTTTATGTTATTTTACTAAGTCATATTTGTGCGAAGTGTAATGTTTAGACTTAGTATATTTTTTGTACACTCATGTTCCCTATAAATAGGGACTGAGGTTAGAAGTAGAGGAGAACTTTTGTTAACGCAAATATCCTTTCTGCTTATTCTATAATCAGTCTTCATCAATATGAGATCTGATTAATATTTACTCTTCGTGTTCTAACTCTTAGATTACTAAAATCATACTATGTTTTCTTAAATCTCGATAACAATTCTCATCAATGACAGTATTACTTCATATCTACTTCCAACATATGACTGACTGTGGATAATTTGAATAATATGTAAAACAACATAAATATTCTGGAAGTCAAAACATGCAAAAGAAATAATAGTAAACGATTGACAAGGGATAGCAACACTTTACTCATAAATAAACACACCTTTTATTCATCATCAAATGTCAATTACATTTTACAAATTTCAAAATTATTTAACTACTAAGACTAATATCATCCTTCAGCCCTATGCCCCTAGCATTATGGAGATGCTTAACCCTACTCAGTCCCTTCGTGAGGGGATCTATCGGGTTCTCATCCGATGATACCCTCTTTGCCACGAGGAGTCCTTCTTTTATACGATGTGTGATGAAATGATATTTTCTGTCAATGTGTCTAGATCTCCCATGATCTCGTGGTTCCTTTGCTAAGGCAACTGCACTTTCACTATCACAGAAAATATCTATGGGCTTCAATATAGCTGGTACAACTCCAAGGTCTCCAATGAAGTTCTTTAGCCACATAGCCTCTTTTTCCACCTCGCTTGACGATATATACTCTTATTCGCAAGTTGAATCAGCCACTGTCTCCTGCTTGGAACTTTTCCAAGGGATTGCTCCTCTGTTTAAGGTAAAGATCCAGCCCGAATGAGAGCGGAAATTATCCCTATCAGTCTGGAAGCTAGCATCACTATACCCTACAACTCTCAAGTCATCACTCCCACCAAGGGTAAGGACCCAATCCTTAGTCCTCCATAGGTACTTGAGAATGTTCTTTACCGTTGTCCTGTGAGCCTTACCAGGGTTGCCCTGA